GTAACAACAAATCATTTGATAAGTTTTTTAAAAATATTTAAGGTTCGGTACATTTATAGTGGACACCTCAAGAATTCCAAATATATATAACAACTCTCCAAGATAAACACCGACTAATGTTTTCTAGTCGATGAGATAGGCTGCCTGCACCTTTTTTTTTTTTTTTTAAATTTAATTTAATTTAATTTAATTTAATTTTTTCAGATTTTCCATATTCCAACCCTGTTTGAGACAAGAATTTGGGACTCTAAATGTCAGAACTAGACCCTGAGGAAACAAGATATAAATTATTTTAAGTCTAGTTTCTGAATATATAGCCCTCTCAACCATATTATTTATGTACTGAATTTTGTGGGGGTGTTGAAGTTATGCAAAATTCTTACCATGATATTTTGAACTTGATTTTCTTTTCCAAAGCCAAAACATTATGGTTTTATGAAATTAAGTATGTAATCAAGGATGGACATATATACATTCATATCTTTTACATTTCAATGTGACAAACATGAGTTACATGATCTAAGTCATTAAGAAAAGATGAATAAAAGATCGATACTTGGTTACTAACGCACATCAATTGACTCTCTTCTGCCGGTTCAAAGATATGTAAAAATATTTGATCTTATGTACTAGACTTTATAGTATTATTCCTAGTATGATCAAATTTATTTGTCAAAGTTTATTTCTCGAAATGTTTAATTAAAAGTCTTATACGTTAGCTATCCTATTTAAATTTGAAGCATGAAATATCATCATAGTTTCGCAAGGGTACTTGAAATATTCTTCTTGTAAATGTCCCTTACTTCAAAAGAAAAATTTAAGTATGGTTTATTGCTTTCTTGAAATAAACTAAAGAACGTGAAAAGAAAATCGACCTAATCCAAATGAAATTAATATGATAGAGTGAGCTTCGTATTACTGATGGTTATGCTAAAAACTATTAGAAGATGACCGGATATGTAAATAACACGACATAGGGAAATCTTTATTCAAGAGTATTCACACTATGTATGAAATTCTTCCCACGTCCTACTTCGGCACGTTCGTGAAGTTAATATGTTATGGGTTGAGGTTGGACGAACGGGACCGGTCAACAAGCAGGAGTTGATCACCTTAATTGGATATTGTCTCCTTATTGGGTTAGGATTACATCTGACCCTTGAGAAGATTGCTAGGGCTCCCGTAGAAAATATGGAGAATCTTCCAATTCAAGTATCTGTAAGGAGATTAACCCGAATCAGGAGAGCACAAGTTAGAAATCGTCAACTAAACTACGATAGTGGTATTTCAATTATAACTGACGAAACAGTGGTTGAAGATCTACACTCTCTAGCAGTGGCGGATCTAAATGGTGGCGAGCTAGGGCGAGGGGTCAGCTGGGAGATTTTATTTTTATTTTTTAACAATGGATTCAATTTTTACTTTATGTTATTGGTAATTGATCCCATTTTCAAATGTCCTCATAGCTTAGTTGGTTAGAGCATGCATAAACATATTTGAAGTCTCAGGTTTGAAACCCTTGTCAAATATTTTGTTGTATATTATTCTTATTCTACTATTTTTGTCAAAATTCATAAGAAAGAGGGACAATGGGGATTCAAACCTACAATCTCTTGCAAGGGTTATTGTAAACTTAACCATCATGGTACTTCTTGAATTGTGTCACAAAATTTAATAAAATAATATTTGTTACGTTTTAACTGTTTTAATGCAAACAATTTTAAAGATTCGAATCCGCACTCTTCCTTTGAATTATAAAAAACTTGGCAACAATGTCATTTAATGAGTCATGCTTATTCTTATAACATAATTATATATGTTCAGTTTGAACAAAATAATTGTTATATTTAAACTTTAAACCTTGTTCGATTTCCTTTTTTTCAAAATACATTTTTTCTTTCTTTTCATCCATATATTCTTCAATAAAATAATATTACACGTAAACTCAAAAATTTTCTTTATTTTTAGACACATGTTCTACATCAAATCACTATTCCAAAATGCATTTTTTTGAAAAAAAAGGGAGTATCAAAAGGACTCTTAATATTTTATTGCTGCCGACGGTAGATGGTTAACGGCCGCCTGTGTTGACTCAAACTCCTCGATTCGCCCTTGCACGAGACGAGAATAGAGTCTGAAGAAATAAAAGATAGTGAGGCACAGATGTAGAAAGAGGAATGGGGATATCAGGCTTTGGGTTTGGGGAACTGGGCTGGGGCTAATAGATAGTTTTTGGAGTTTTACCTATTGGTTTTGGATGTGGGGGCATACGATATGCTTTTAATTAAACACTAGCCAGTCTAAAAAAATAGGAAAAAACTCATAACTGCACATGAAATCTAATTTTTTCGAGAAATATTAAATTACAAAAAGTACCATGTACTCCATCAAATACAACCAAATCTATTGTCTCTAAAATTTTCCTCATTTCATTACTTTAACTGAAATTTTTAAGAGGCAATTATCACTCATTCATTAACTACTCGTCGCCAAGCGGAATTCAAAACTGAATTTGTTCTCCATCTAAAACTAATCTGAATATATCATTACATATAACTCATTCCCTACAATTGAAGATTTACCCTCCGCCAAATCTCTGAAATCTTGAAATTTCATCTATTTATTGTGTTAATTTCAGCTTCCAGTGTTGTTTTCCTCATTGAATCCTATAAGATTCATCTTTCTTGAGTCAACGATATCATTTGTGTATATTATATTCACTAATGTTTCACGACTATTCATTGCTCGAAATTTATTTCAATATGTGTTGCAGGTTCTTTAATTTGTTCGTGGTGTCCTTAGGACTTGATAAATCCCAAAAACGATGCTTGTACCCTGTTCTTAGACCCTTTTGTGTTGTATGTATCATGTGAGCTTGAATGAATAATTTTTTTGGGGCATCATTTGGCTTTAAAAAAAATGGATATTTTGGTTAGCCTGATGCTTCTACAAACACTGAAAATGTATTCAATTTGTATCGTTCAAATTGTTGGCCAAATTATGTTTCATAATTAAAATCATCGTAGTCAATATAAATAATATAACTTCTTCATATGATCTGTGTTGATTTGTTTACACGAAATCGGAAAAAAATATTTTGTGAACTGGTACATCACTGGTCCACATGATATGATTTAGTATTGTATTTTCCTGTTTGCAGGAAATGGAATGCGTAATATCTGAACTTCTCTTACCAACTGGTTACAAATACCTGGATATCGACATTAGTATTGATGTTGTCCAAACAACAACTCTTTACTCTTCTACATGAAGCTGGAAAGGAAGGAGCCAGGCTTAATGACATATGCACTGCGAGTTGTTATGGACCGTATTCCCATTCGCAAATGCTTCTAAATCTGACAGATATATGGCAATTCCACACTCATCAGTGTGTATTGAGGTTGAGGATGCATCACCCGATCAAGTTCTGGGACTGAAATTTTCAACAATTCCTTCAATTCAGGAATTTGTATCCAGCATAGAAATAACTGACCTACAACTACTTGGAAAACTTCTTTGTTGTGAGACAAATAAGAGTAGATTTGCTATCTGAAAAACAACTATGTCGTGACAAGAAGTTGCTGAAAGGAACGGATGGCTCGAGAGCATGCTTTGGAGCAGATTTTGGTGATCCAAACGACGCTTACGGTAGATTACTAATGTATCTAATAGAGAGAGAGTAAAAAACAAAATCTAGGTTCAAAGACCAGAATCGAAGTAGATACTGATGGACATTTAAAACGTGCATTAATATCATTAGGCGCATCCATTAAAGGGTGGAGAAATTGTAAGCCCGTAGTCATGATTGATACAACTTTCTTAACTGGAAGATTTAAGGATACCCTATTAACTACATGCACACAAGATGCAAAAATTCAAATTTTATACTGGCGTTTGGGGTTGGAGATTTCGAGAACAATGACTTGTGGTCGTGGGATTGGTTCATTAGACAACACAAGGAAGCATACACCGAGAGAGATGAAATGTGTTTCATTTTGGATCATCGTGGAAACATCGAACACACTGTCCATGAGGTGTATGCACGGAATTTGTGCACGTCATAGTTTATAGAACCTAATATTCGCTAACGATAATTGTGGGAACAACATAGCCAAGTCTTTCAACACAGCTACAAGGGTTTACTCAAAGCTTGAAGGCATGATGAAATATTTTCTCAACCCGGTAGGCCTAAGAAAACGAGGAGACGAACTAGTGTAAAGTGCTCAACAATATGTGGAAGGTGTGTCAAGTGTCAGGAGGGGACACAAGCGACCACTACCAGTTTTGTAAGAATTCATGATAAAGGTGTAGTGTGTGTTAATGAACAATCTTATTTGTTGTCCAAAGAGATTTATTTGACATATACTTTGTAAAACCAAGTTACGCAATGTTGATGTGTGCACACAGGGGCAGGCTTGGCCCAAGGCAAGTGAGGCCACTGCATTGGGCCTCATATTTTAGGAGGTCTCTACTCCAAACCACCCGTCTTGAAAAAAAAGAAAAAATTTGGGCACATAAAAGAGGTAAACGAACTACCTTCTCCAATTCCATTTCAATTATCTTCCCCACTCCACAGACAGAGACCACATTCCAATCCGGAATTAATCCCTAAAAATAGAGTCTACCACTGCAAAAGTTTCGGCGGAATCCACAGGTTTGGCTACTTCAGTATTTTCGCACACAGAGAGTTCGCAAACAACAAATCCTTGAAGCTGATATAAGGTCTTGCAAATCTGCAGATTGGTTTCCATGTATTTTAGCAAACTGTAAACCCTTAAAAATCTTTCCATGATTTTCTTTTTTATTGGGGCTTTAAGTTCAAAACGGCCAGCCTGGAAAAATGTCCCATGATTTTTTATTGGTTTCCATGATTTTCCTTTTTATTGGGGCTTTAAGTTCAAAACGGCTAGCCTGGAAAAATGTCCCAAAATCTTTTTCACATAAATAAAGCAAAAATCTTATTTAAGGCCGGCCCTGACCCCAAGGCAAGTGAAGCCATTGCCTTGGGCCTTATATTTTAGGGGGCCTCTTGCCCAGAACTGACTCTCTCTTAAAAAAGGGCAAAAAGAAAAATTTTGGGTACATAAAAGAGGCAAACGAACCGCCTTCTCCAATTTCATTCCAATCATCTTCTCCACTTCATAGACCTAAGACCACTTCCAATCCGGAATTAATCCCTAAAAACTACTCCAATCCGGAATTAATCCCTAAAAACTACTACTCTACTAGTCTACCACTGCAAAAGTACCGATGAAATCCACAAGCTGGGTTGCTTCGACACTTTCGCACACAGAGAGTTCGCAAACGGCAAACCCTTGAAGTTGATATAAAGTCTCGCAAATCCGCAGGTTGGCTTCCATGTATTTTAGCAAGCTGCAAATCTTTGAAAATCTTTTCATGATTTTCTTTTTTATTGGGGCTTTAAGTTTAAAACGGCCAGCCCTGGAAAAATGTCCAAAAATCTTCTTCACATAAATAAAGCAAAAATATTAACAAGAATTAAACAACTAAAATCACCTCCTCGAAATCTCTAAATTTCACTTTCTCAATTCCAAAATCATGAGCATATTGCAGACAACGAATGTTTCTCTCAAGTATAAAAACGAGCATATGCAGTCGGTATACATGTGTTTGTTTACGTTGTGATATAAATTAAAAAGTACCTGACCGGCACACAAGATGCAAAAATTCAAATTTTATACTGGCGTTTGGGGTTGGAGATTTCGAGAACAATGACTTGTGGTCGTGGGATTGGTTCATTAGACAACACAAGGAAGCATACACCGAGAGAGATGAAATGTGTTTCATTTTGGATCATCGTGGAAACATCGAACACACTGTCCATGAGGTGTATGCACGGAATTTGTGCACGTCATAGTTTATAGAACCTAATATTCGCTAACGATAATTGTGGGAACAACATAGCCAAGTCTTTCAACACAGCTACAAGGGTTTACTCAAAGCTTGAAGGCATGATGAAATATTTTCTCAACCCGGTAGGCCTAAGAAAACGAGGAGACGAACTAGTGTAAAGTGCTCAACAATATGTGGAAGGTGTGTCAAGTGTCAGGAGGGGACACAAGCGACCACTACCAGTTTTGTAAGAATTCATGATAAAGGTGTAGTGTGTGTTAATGACCAATCTTATTTGTTGTCCAAAGAGATTTATTTGACATATGCTTTGTAAAACCGAGTTATGCAACGTTGATGTGTGCACACAGGGGCAGGCTTGGCCCAAGGCAAGTGAGGCCACGGCATTGGGCCTCATATTTTAGGAGGTCTCTAGTCCAAAACCACCCCTCTCTTGAAAAAAAAGGAAAAATTTGGGCACATAAAAGAGGTAAACGAACTACCTTCTCCAATTCCATTTCAAGTATCTTCTCCACTCCACAGACAGAGACCACATTCCAATCCGGAATTAATCCCTAAAAATAGAGTCCACCACTGCAAAAGTTTCGGCGGAATCCACAGGTTTGCCTACTTCAGCATTTTTGCACACAGAGAGTTCGCAAACGACAAATCCTTGAAGCTGATATAAGATCTCGCAAATCCGTAGGTTGGTTTCCATGTATTTTAGCAAACTGTAAACCCTTAAAAATCTTTCCATGATTTTCCTTTTTATTGGGGCTTTAAGTTCAAAACGGCTAGCCTGGAAGAATGTCCCAAAATCTTTTTCACATAAATAAAGCAAAAATCTTATTTAAGGCCGGCCCTGGCCTGGGCCTCATATTTCTAGCCCAAAACTGACTCTCTCTTAAAAAAGGGAAAAAGGAGAATTTTGGGTACATATAAAAGAGGCAAACGGACCGCCTTCTCCAATTTCATTCCAATCATCTTCTCCACTCCATAGACCTAAGACCAATTCCAATCCGGAATTAATCCCTAAAAGCTACTACTCTACTAGTCTACCACTGCAAAAGTACCGACGAAATCCACAAGCTGGGTTGCTTCGACACTTTCGCACACAGAGAGTTCGCAAACGGCAAACCCTTGAAGTTGATATAAGGTCTCGCAAATCCGCAGGTTGGTTTCCATGTATTTTAGCAAGCTGCAAATCTTGGAAAATCTTTCCATGATTTTCTTTTTTATTGGGGCTTTAAGTTTAAAACGGCCAGCCCTCGAAAAATGTCCAAAAATCTTCTTCACATAAATAAAGCAAAAATCTTAACAAGAATTAAACAACTAAAACCACCTCCTCGAAATCTCTAAATTTCACTTTCTCAATTCCAAAATCATGAGCATATTGCAGACAACGAATGTTTCTCTCAAGTATAAAAACGAGCATATGCAGTCGGTATACACGTGTTTGTGTATGTTGTGATATAAATTAAAAAGTACCTGACAAAGAATCAGAAACGGGTTTTGCTTAATTTGAAGAAGGCTCTCTTGACCTGCAATTTTGCAACAAGTCTGAAGTAAAAAGAATTGACGAATGCAAGCTTGTACTCCAGATTATCACTCAGAAACTAGATGTTCAGTCTTCAGTCGTATGGTTTTTAGGAATTTGTCTATAAGTATTAAGTATTAGGGATGATATGTGCGGTCCAGGGTGTCAAGAGACTTGGGAAAATAGATTTTTGTGTTTTAGGCATGGAATGGGGATAAATGCATCCGCCAAAAAGTGCAATTCTACAGTAACAATTCCTCCAAAGGATATAAAAAGTATGAAAACATATGATGAGAATGTGATATTATTACACATTTTTTCATTTCGTAAAATTGTTAGCCAACAAAAACTAATTAAATTTTTTTATTCGATTTGAATAAATTGAAGTTTATCTGGTCTTCTCAGTTCTCAAGAACATGGAACTTATCAAAATAAAAAATCCAGAAACAAAAATCAATTGAAATTGAAAATTGAAACATGTGTCTTCATATTTCAAATTCAAAGCACTAATTAACTTGGAGAGCCAAGTCATTAAGAGACAGTAAGCTTTAATTGGAATTTGATGTATGATTTAAATTTATTGCATATTGAGATTCAAGATCCAAAAATGCATTTTCTTTTTTAAAAGTTTATTCTCTCCTTTTTCTGGGTGTGTTATCTATTCTCTCTTTATTTTCTTCATTCCTTGGTAGCCTCAGAATTGCCTAATAATCAGACTCTGCAATTTCAATCGCAACTCGGAACAGCCGCATTGTCTACTTCAATTGCCACCGCGACCACTACTACAACCAATTTCAGAATCCTTTCATTTTGGAGACTCATCAATTAGGTTTTATGGCGCTTTGTTTATCATTATGTTTACAAGAAAATTTGAATCTGGATATGTTAAAAGAAAAAGGAAGGAAAAAGTTGAAAAGTTGATTAAATCTCAAGATGGAGCACTTGATAAATATTTTAGGAGTAGTAAATGAACACCTAATGAAGACGTAGTTACTGAAGAAGTGTTTAATGAGAATGATAATAAAAATAATACAATTGAGGAAGAACATTGTCTGATGAATGAAGAAGTATCTCCTAACAGAGATAATGAATCATTTTCTCTTGACCTTATTGATTCAGCAAATTGGGGAAATATGAATTCGAATTTAAGAGATTTAATTGTAACGAAAGGTCCTATAAGATAAAATGATATGCTTTTTTCCCAAAAGATAGAGCGTATCGACACTTCTCATCCACACATTACGTTCGACGATTACCTAATAGAGAGAAGCATGATAGAAAATGGTTGATATATTCAAGAAGTTTGGATAAAGTATTTTGTTTTGTTGTAAGCTGTTGAAAAATGATGTGATCAGAACTCAATTGGCACATGATGAAGTAAATGATTGAAAAAATATTGGTGAAAAATTTAAAATGCATGAAGTAAGTTGCGACCACATTAATAACATGAGTAAATGGATAGAAATAGAATTAAGATTCAAAAAGAGTAAACAATTGATAAAAGTGTGCAAGAACAAATCAATAGAGATAAAGAACATTGGAGACAAGTGTTACTGAGAATAATATTTGTGGTGAAAACTCTTGTTGAAAATAATTTAGCATTTTGTGAGGATAATGAGAAGGTATATTAAGAAAATAATGGTATCTTCTTAATAATGATTGTTGAGTTTGATCTCGTAATGCAAGAGCATGTTCGTCGAAAAAAAAAAGAGATTCATTATCATTATCATTATCTAGGACGCAAAATTCAGAAAAATTCTAAATACTTTTCTGTTATACTTGATTGCACTACAGATACAAGTCAAGAAGAACAAATGTCTATAGTATTGAGGTGTGTAGATATTTCGGCAAGTCCGGTGAATGTTGAAAAAATTTTTTTTATGATTTTTATTGGTAGATGATACATCAGGTAAGGGACTTTTTGATGAACTTTTTGATGAACTGGTGGATGCTTTGAATAATCTAGAACTTGATATTGATAATGTAAGGGGTCAAGACTATGATAATGGTGTTAACATGAAAGACAACATTAATGAGTTCAAAGTAGACTATTACAACTAAATCCTAGAGCGTTCTACAGTCCAAATGGATGTCATAGTCTTAATCTTGCACTTTATGATATAACCACTTGTTGTTCAAAAGCTAAATCTTTTCTTTGGGGTGGTGCAACGTATATACATTTTATTTTCTTAATCTACTAAACGGTGGAAATTTTTCAAAGAGAATGTAACTGGTCTTACCCTTAAGCCCTTGTCATAAACTCGTTGAGAAAGTCATATTGAAAGTGTTAAAACGATAAGATTTCAAGCTCCGCAAATAAAAAAAACCTTACTTTAATTAGCAAACGTTGATGATCCTAAGACAAAAAGTGAGGCGGAATGTTTAGCAACATATGAAATTGACAATTTTGAATTCTTACTTGGAATGATTATTTGGTATGAAGTGTTGAATAATGTTAACAAATTAAGTAAACATTTGCAAGCAGAAGACATGTATATTGATGTTGATATAGACCATTTAAAAGGCTTCTTTTCATTTTTCGAAAGTTATAGAGAATCTGGTTTTGAATCGGCCATGGTTGATACTAAAGAGATTGCAAGTCAATTAGAAATTGAATCGAAATTTCGTGAAAAATGGGTTATACATAGAAAAAAACAGTTTGATGAGACTCTTGAAGAGATAACACAACAGTTGAAGAATCTTTTAAGGTCAATTATTTCATTTATACAGTGGATGCTCTATCATCGCTTCAAAATAGATTTGAGCAATTTCACAAATATGAAGATATTTTTAGATTTTTATTTGATTTGAAAATACTTAAAGAAGTATAATACAATCTTTGATATTGATAGAATAGAATTATTTTTTGATTTGAAAGTTTTAAGGGAAGCGATATCTGCAAACATTTTTGAAGCAATTGATGTATTGGATTACAATAAGAGAATGAAATGTTGTTTTGCAAATGCCTAGATTGCTTATACAGTCTTATTGACTATTCCTGTCACAGTTGCCTTCACTGAAAGAAGTTTTTCAAAGTTGAAGTTGATTAAATCTTATCTTCGATTATCCATGTTACAAGAGCAATTGAATGGATTAGCTATGATTTCTATTGAAAAAAATATGTTGGAAAAACTTGATATTAGTAGTTTGATTACTAATTTTACATTTCAAAATGTGAGAAAATTAAATATTATGCTAGCCTAATCTTTCGGGTTGTGAAATAAGTTTTATTTTGTTATTCTATCTTTTGAATTGTAGAAAGTTTTCTTTCTAATATAAAAATGTTAATTATTCAAATGTTTACATATTGTTAGACTTGTAAAATAAATTCTGTGTTGAGGGCCTCTAAATTCTCAGGGCCGGCCCTTTGTGCACAACGCGTGTGAGGTTTTCCATTAAATTCTACAATGCTTCCCTCCTTTAGCATCTTACAATTTGGTCACGTAGTCACCTGCAAAAACATGGTTTTGCTAACAGCCAAGCCGAATCTAAAACACCTCCCAAATGATTCTAAGTTGGCCGTTCAACTCTTTGACAAAGGGTGTGGCTCAAAAGACTTACCAAATGCAATTCGAATGACAATAGACCTTAATCTGAGTAAGCATGTTAAATATGCTGAATTTCTCCAGGATCGCACATTTGTTTGGTTACTGACAGGTCAAAAAAATAGGCAAGAAATAGTAAACCAACCCATCCAGGTTCATCCCTGTACAAAAGCAGAACAAGTTAAACATGGTCATAGTTTTGCATTAAAAATAGACAAAATACTATGACAAGTGTCTGCAAACTGATTCATTCATTCTAGAATAGTCTATAATCGATTACAAAATAGAAAACCTACAAATACTATGGAAACATCACAACATTTCCTACCATCCAAAAACATAGTCGATAAACAAGATTAAACATCTTTCGACACCCTGAGCTTCCTCTCTCTCCTCTCACACTACGTGGCACAAGGTCATAGTAGGTTTCGTATCCTTTAATTATCTTCTCGCATCCATGCTTGTAAAGTTGGACTGCCAAATGCGACCTCGAAATGTTGGGATTGAATTTTTCTAATGTCACGTTTGTCTCCTATCTCTTCATGATAGGAATCCTGAATCTCGAGCATATTGATTTGATGTTGAGAATACGGAGTGAACATTATGATATATAGGGTAAGAGATTTGCGGGATGCCTTGATTTTGTAGATTACGTGGTTTCGGATTTCGATTCTTGAACGAATATGATAACGGCTGAAATTGGGGATATTCATTTGTGGGACGAGACATTGGCGATATTGAGTTGTGTTAATTTGATTGGGCTTGATTGGAGGGGAGAGAGAAGCTCCCAAAATAATCTATTCATGAAAGAATTAAACTACTTTGCCAGAAGAACACAATGCTTTGACATCCTCTAGCATGTACGTGAATTCTGTGTGAATAATAAAGTCCAAAAAAAAGTGGAGCCCCCTATTGTGAGTATCGATTATATTACATGTCAACCATTTTCTAGCAACATACCAGTTTTGTGTTTCACTTTTTACTGTATGAAAAGTAGTATTAGCCCAAAATAATCTATTCATGAAAGAATTAAACTACTTTGCCAGAAGAACACAATGCTTTGACATCCTCTAGCATGTACGTGAATTCTGTGTGAATAATAAAGTCCAAAAAAAAGTGGAGCCCCCTATTGTGAGTATCGATTATATTACATGTCAACCATTTTCTAGCAACATACCAGTTTTGTGTTTCACTTTTTACTGTATGAAAAGTAGTATTAGTAGGATAAAGAAATTGGGATTATATTATATGAATTAATATTTAAAAATAGGTAAAAGGTGAAATTCCGTCAAAAAAATAGGTTGAAAGTGGATACAGCTTGGTCCTGCCCACGCCTAGATCTGCCAATGCCTCGACATCCATGGCCACAGTGGAAATTAACTGTGTTTGTTTGGTTTGTGTGAGAGAGGGAGAGGGAGAGGGCATGTAACCATGATATACATATATGTCGCCACATCAGATGTCGTGCATACGGATTTATATATGTCTCAAACATATGCATGAACATTTAGTGACGGATGCGAAAATTTTGAATTAGGGGAGCACAATCAAACTAACAAAAAAATTTGAAAAAATTAAAGCATTGCATATCTTATTACGCCTAATAATGCTGCCCTATTTGGAATTTTTGATGAAGTTCCCAAAATAAATCTCACAAATTATATAAATTTGTAGAATTAATAGATATAGAATTGCAGAGTACAGCCTGAAATCCAGCACAAAATCTGAATAGATTGATAAAAAATGACTAATATCAATTATCTTCTTTGAGATCTCTCTCCAACAAAAATATTGCTACGACCCAAACAAGACAATAACAGATTCTGTAGTATACACAGATATCATATTATCATTCCTTATTTCACAAAAATAAAATTAAAAAAAAAAACCCATATATATTAAAAAAATAAAAATAAATAAATAAATAAATCATCACCAACAATAAAAAACAAAGAGGTGAAAATATAATGAAAATGGTACCTTTTTACACCTACTATATACAGCAGCCCAATAATTAAATTTCAATCTAGAACTGTACAGATAACAGAGTGAGGAAATTCAAAGAGAGGGTAAGGTTTCAATTAGGTTTTAAGAGTAACAGGAAGAAAAAAAGACTAATCTTTGGGCTCGTATTTGAACTTTGAATAATGAA